GTGGCATCTGATTAAGTGCTTGTCGATCTGAGTTGTATGTTGATAACGAGCAATAGACAGCTGAACTCAGAGCTCAGTCTTTTACAGATGGGAAGGAGAAACTGACTGCTTCCAAAGGCTTCCTGATAGACCTTGCTGCGCCGGACAATGACTGTGAGTCAAACGGAAATCCCTGCATTTTATTTGAACACACATTTACAACCAGCAATGAACAGTATTGAGATTTAGAGCTTTTTAGATTTTTAGAAAGTGTTTTTAGATTTTAGTTTTTGCAGTCTAATGTAAAGACACATTTTTAAAAATACACGTTTACATGTTACACATTAGCAATTTGTGTCGGAAGACATTTTTTTTTTTAATGTTTAATTGAAAATGATATTATAAATTTCCACTGCAGCATATACACTGTTAACGATTTTTGTAAATGACACAGTATTTAACTGTAATATGAACTGTACTTTACTGTTGGACGGTTAAGCAGTTTGTTACTGTGTTTTAAAGTTGCATTGTGAAAATGTATATTTAACAGTAAATATATACAGTCAATGCATACTGTATACAACAAGATGATTGGTGGTGTAAATGTAAAAACATTATTTTTTGCTGTAATTGGTTTGCAGTAAGTTACTTTCTCCAGTAAGTTATTGTAGATTCTACGAGACACTGTTAGCAGTGTATACCAAACTACAGTTTAATTCAGATCTACATTGCTCAGTAAATTGAATACACCCCTTTTTGTATATTGAAAAATTAATATTTTTATCCATTTCTCAGTGAATATAGGCAATGTTATTTGGTTCATTTAAAGAAATCAGATTAACTTAACAGATATATTTATCAAAATAATATATATTTTAGGAATTGAAAGAGAATACAATTAAATTCAAGCAAAATATTGCAAAAAAATAATAATTACAACCTACAAAATTTCAACTAATTCTTTATTTATTTATTTTTTCAACTTCTCTTGATTTTTCCTCTTTCTTAAATTTGTATTTAATATTGTGTACTAGTTTTGGACCGTTATCGAACGTTATTTTTTTTAGATAAGCTTTAGGTTTGGCTTCAGCACTCAATAATACTCAAAGTACTCAGTGATCAATGCACAAATATAATATTGTATATCTTCCTATTGAAAATATGCATTTAAAAGATTTGTGGGGGGTGTGCTTGTATATGCTGAGCACTGTATTTTTATAATGTTTTTTTACTGAGGGATATGTTCATATTATGTGTGTGTGTGCAATATTTTCAGAATTATGGAGTGCACTATGCTAAAATAATGAAAAAATATAACATTTAAGCATATAGTAAAAGTAAGCATTACATTTTTTTTAGCCTGCTGTGTGTTACATTATTAATAACACATTTATGTTGGGTTTATTTAATGATTTACTCCTGTAAAGCTTCTATTCCCATCACTTACATTACCTTGTAATTATAAATGTCATCATTTATTAATGATTTTACTAATGGGTGGGTTATATTTGGGGCTTTTCATGAACACGCCATGTCTATATAACATGTCAGGTTTTTATCCTGCTAAGTCCATTAAAGCTGTGTTATATTCTCCTGTGGTTAACATAAAGCACTCCAGTCATGTGGCACATATCCAGTTGCATTTCATTGAAGAACCATTCTGAAGAATATTGCAGTGTGGTTACATTTCATTAAAAGGACTGTCACTGCATTGAAAGGAGAAAATATGGATTAAAACATAGAAAAAATGCATTATTATTATTATTATTATTATTATTATTATTATTGCACAATTTAAATAACTATTTAGCCATTTAATTTAATTTATTTATATATTAAATGTATATACATCCCTTTGAGCTCTTTGGTACCATTACAATATTTAATATACTATACTTTTGGGTTTTAATTGTAATTTTGGAAAGTAAACGTTTGGAAATATTCGAATACTAGCACTCAGTGGTTGTCAGTGTGATTAAATGATAACGAGGTTGTGTTATTATTATTGTTATTAATGTTATTATTATTATCATTATTATTACAGTATTATATAACTATTCAACCATTCTTTCCCATTCGCTGAGCTACATATAAAGTCATTTGTGCTGTGTGCCAGTATTGAAAGTTTTACATTAATGTTCTATTTCAATTCCAAGTCATTTTTTAATACAAACATTTGTAAATGAAAATATGTGGCATTTGACTGCAATTAAATGGCTAAAAAATACAATAAAATGGATTAACATGGATGTGATTAAAGAAGTTAACAGTAAACAAAGTAAACTCTTATCAGCTGCATGAAATTCAGTTTCCAGATTAACACTTTACTGTTAGACTATTACTGTACATCACAGACATGAAGGCTGCATGGAAAATGTAACAAGCTGAATCATGCAGCTCCAATCCTGGCACTTTATCAAAGGCCACTGCCAGACACGTCTATCAGTAAGATAAAGACTGCAGTGCAAAAAACACACCCAGTTCACCCACTTCAACAAACACATACTAATGTAACACTAGTCATTATAATGCCAATAGTCATTATATTTTAAGTAAAGATCATGTTCAATCAAGATATTTTGTTATTTTTCAACTATAAAAGTATCAAAACTTAATTTCTGTTTAGTAATATGCATTACTAAGAACTTTAGACAACTTTTCCTGTAAATTGACATTTAGTCATTCACTAGATGCTTTTGTCCAAAGGGATTTACAGTTGAGGAGGCATTCAGCGATTCAACAATTCAACTTCATAAATGTACAGTTTTCTTTTGTTTGTTTTTTTTAGAGATTTGGGTTTGATTGTAAGAAAGTGTCTTGTGCAAATGTGCAAAACTGGTGCAAGTGTCAGTTAAAGTGTCAGAGAGATGAAAGAGTGTGTTTTCTACAGGTGGTTTGTCAAACCCACTCACTTGTGTGAGGTTTTAAATGATTTCAGAAATTGTATTTTGGCCAAATATTGTTCGATCCAGTGTTAATTTTGACAGCAAATTTTTGTTTAGTTTAAGTCTTAGTCTTTTGATTAAAATATTTTTTAATGATCTTCTTTTTTTTAATCGTCTTCTGAATTATTTTAGTTTTAGTCTAGTTTTAGTCAACAAAATTTCACAAGATTTCAGTTGAGTAAAATTTATTTGTTTTAATTTAAGTGTAATTTAATAAAATATTGTATACATGTATTGATACAAAATAGTCTAATTTAAAATTAAATAAAACAGTCTCATTCAAATATGGAATATAGATTTTCCATTAAAGACAAAGTTGGAAAAGCATTGTTTATTTATTTTACAAGTAATATGTAAAATGTGTCGGCAACTCTTTATTTCACATGGTAAACTTGTCTTTTTGACCAGTGTGTCAAAAAGTTTCAAGCCTCATGCATCAACCACCAAGATTTATTCTGATTGGATAATAAAAATAAAAAAACGTCCCTCAATCATCATCTCGTTTTGATTGGTCAAAAAAAAAAAAAAAGCAGAGCAAAAAAAAAAAAGAAGCACTTTCCGACGGTCCTTTAGAGCTCCACTCAGCGCGAGCTCTCCCGGCTAAACGCATATTGCGAGGCCTTAAATGGAGCAGTGGTCGTAATGTTGAGCAAAAAGAAAAAGACAGTTGCAAAACATAACCAACTTTGTGTAGGAAACACTCTTTTAAGAGGCTGACTTATTGCCTTACTTATTGACTTACTAATTTGACTTATTGCCGTCTATCACTGAATGTGTCTGAAATATCGAAAACAAAACCAACTTAACTGCTTATTTCTGGCGCCCCCTGGATGTACAGCGGCCTTAGCATTTGCCTATACTGCCTATGCCACGGGCCGGCCCTGATTCTCAGAAATAAAGGAATGCGAGCTGTTACTAGGCTGGTACCTTTACAAAAGGTACAAATTTATACCTTAAAGGTCCATACTAATATCTCAAGGGTACATATTAGTACCTAAAAAGTACAAAAGTGTTACTCTTACATTTTGTAGGTACTATATACTTTTGAGGTACCAATATGGACCCTTTTTTCTTTTTTTTTTTTCCCTCTCCGCTGTCGCCACTGCCTCGCATGGTTCAGGATTGGTAGAGCTATGCATCGATGAATTGGCTCTTCAGTGTTTGAACTCTCAGTAATGATTAAATCACACTGAACTGAGCTAAACTGAACTGAACTTAAACACTAAAAACTGAACTACACTGTTCCAGTTACTGAACCACACTGTTCCAGTTACTATGACCATTTATGTGAAGCTGCTTTGACACAATCTACATTGTAAAAGCGCTATACAAATAAAGCTGAATTGAATTGAATTGAATTTAGGTACATATGTGTACCTTTTAAAAAGGTGCCAGTGAAAGCTCGCGTTCCTTTATTTCTGAGAGTGTAGTTGTTGTCATCATCATTTAATTTTATTTAGTTTTCACCTTGTTTTCGTCAGTAGAAACATGTTCATCATGAAAATTGTGATGAAAAGTTTTCGTCAATGAAATGAACACTGGTCCTATCCCAACAATACATCAGTGTTAATATTATTCATTCAGTTTTCAGATTATGTACATCTCATGTTTCAAGAATTGACACTTAAAACTGAAATTGTGCGATTTTGGTCCACAATTAATGTTCTCTGAATATTCCGGTTGCTCTGCTAGCTTTAGCAAAGCTTGCATTGACTAGCAAAACCCAAACATCGACGCACGTAAGACTGGTGTGACGCACTTTTCTTGGAAATTTAATCAGCCAATGTTCCTGATAAATATATAGGGTGTAATGTAAATATGAGCCGCTTGACTTGTGTTATGTGGAACATGTACCACAGCTGTCTCAGGGTCATTGAGGTGTTAATGGGCTCAGTGTATTGTTTGACCATCCTCTGTCCGACATAAAACTGAAGGCTGATGAAAGAGCTGACAGATGGGAAGTTATGCTGTTATGCAACTCTGATTATTATTACACAGCTCTATGGAATACATTTGCATACGCATTTGTAGTCTTTCATTCACGTTTATTTGTTGACATATTTTGTGGACTAAAATTGTTAGACATCTATAAGATTTTTACTGACATGCAGTCTCGTTAGCCAGGATGTCCATGTTTGGACATCTATTAGATGTCTTTAATATGTAATATAAGGCTAGCAAGGGGTATCATGAAAATAATAATCACTCAGAAGTTTAACATCAGTATAAATTCAAGATATATTTTACTTTTTATTTTCAAAAAGATAATGTTGATGTCACAAAAGTGTAGGCTTCGCTTTGGAAGCTGACTGAAAGTAATCAATGTATGATTAAAATATTTATTTCTTTTTTTCACCCAGACTGCACCTGGTGAGCTGGATGAGCTGTGCTTCCTCACGGCTCAGTCCATGACATCGCTGGTGACATCAGAGCACTTCAAGCTCATCAAAAAGCTGGGAGAGGGTTCATACGGCAAGGTGATGCTGGCAGTGCATCAGAGGAGAGGTCAGTTGAGCTCTGAGCTATAACAGCAATGTGTCAATAATGACAGGCTGCATCCAAAGTCACATACTTCACTACTCTACTACTAGACATCCGAATTCACAGTATTCGAAAAACAGTAAGTGAGAAGTACTCAGATGATAAACAACTTAAGCCTAGGTCCTGAAGTGGCATCCAGAGGACACTTTACTATCCCATGAGGCTGAAAGGAAGAGCATTTATGAATAGAAGTGAATGCAAATGATGCTAGTAGGTTGTGGTAGTGACACCATGGTGAATGTGTATATCAGGGGTGTCCACACTCGGTCCTGGAGGGCCATTGTCCTGAAAGTTTAGCTCCAACCCTTATTAAACACACCTGAACAAGCTAATTAAGGTCTTAGTAGGTATACCAGAAACTTCCAGGCAGGTGTGTTGAAGCAAGTTGGAGCTAGGATCAGCAGGACACTGGCCCTCCAGGACCTACTTAGACACCCCTGGTCTATATGATATATGCATCATTCCAACCGACTCAAAATTAGGATTATTCCTACTTTCTATTTGGAACAGTGCTTTAAACAACCTAGACCTCATCGAGATGAGTCATTTGACATCACTTTCAAGATAGTGGCTAGTTCTTCTTCTGGTGAGATTAGCGCAGAGATACCCTACTGTATGTTCATTCATTTATTCATTTTCCTTTGGCTTAGTCCCTTATCTATCAGGGGTCACCAAAGCGGAATGAACCACCAACTATTCCGGCATATGCTTTACATCAGGCTTTCAAGCTGCAACCCAGTACTGGGAAACACCCCAACACTCTCGCATTTACACACACTCATACGCTACGACCAGTTTAGTTCATCCAATTCACCTAGTGCATGTCTTTGGACTGTGGGGGAAACCGGAGCACCCGGTGGAACCCATGCCAACATGGGGAGAACATGCAAACTCCACACAGAAATGCTAAATGACCCAGCCAGGACTTGAACCAGCAACCTCCTTGCTGTGAGTCGACAGTGCTAACCACTAAGCCAGCCTGCAACCCCACCTATGTAAAATGTCAAATTAAACTTATACTTATACAAGATAAGATATACTAATATATAATATAATAACAATATCACAAAATATAAAATAACCTAAACTAAAATAGATGAGAACCCTAATAAAGACCATTTCTGAGATTGTATTAACTTTAAAATGCAATATAGAATGTTAAATTTTTTTTTTTTCGTGAGCTGTTCTTTAAGCAACAGCCGGCATTTACCGTTCTTTTGGTTTTGGCATAATTGGCACAATAGCACAGAATGTTTTTGATTTCTCATATTTTGAACAGGCGATTGTGTCAGATAGGCTGGAACACATTTATTGGGAACTAATAAAGGCTACCTCTGAGATTCTACATTATTCAATTAACCTCAAGTTTACTTGTATAGCGCTTTCACAATAATTATCGTTGCAATGCAGCACATAATTCCATTACAGTCAAAATCGGAAAAGCTAAGGAGTTGTGTTTAGGGTTGGCAATATAGTTAACCTGCAGTTATAAAGTATTGTCAGACTCCCGTGTTGTATCATGTTATCTTCCCCCATGTTTCCATGCTCTATGTGTGTTTATTTGTATCACGTGACCCCTTTGTTCTAGTTCCTGTGGTTTGTTAATGTTCCATGAGTCTCACCTGTGTTCCATCCCTGTATGTAATCAGTCCTATCATATCCCTTGTATTAAGTCCTCTTGTGTTTAGTTAGTTCCTCCTCTGGTATTCTAAGTTATGATTGTTTACACTCGACTCCACGTCCTTCCTGAGTTTCCTGTGTCTATGTTCCTATGTCTTCCAAGTGAGTGTTTGCAAATAAATCTACGTGTTTGATAACTCCTGTTTGATAAATCCTTTGCCTTTATGAGAGAGCCCAGGCATAACAGGTATATAGTGTCCTTTTCATAAGAAATACTATTTACATGTAGTAATATTAACACAATACATCTGATTACATCGGAATTTCATTCACACTACTACAGACCATTTCAATGTGTCACTGGCTCGTGAACATTTCCTGCTTGCTATCCAACTATTTCATAACTGTAAAAAGAGGGAATTTAACCATAACTCAACATTAAAACAGCTATCATAACATTATTTATCAATAGGTGGATCTTTGTGGATTCTTGGAAGATATAGACATGAAAAAGGTAAAACAGGAAATATGTTAGGACCATTGTTATTGTTAACTTCAAAATGATCTATATAGAATATTCTTTTCTAATTGTCATGTAGTGCATTTAAATTCAAAAGTAATATGAGATTGCTGTATATTTGGTGATTATATTGTGAAGAGGAAGCACTTCTAACTTCAGGAATCTCTTCACTTCCAGGAACTCCGATGGCCCTGAAGTTCTTCCCGCGGCGCTCCACTACTCTGCAGGCATTTCTGCGTGAATATAACCTGTCGGTCTGCTTCTGCACGCATCCATCTCTGACCCGGGCACTGGGCATCTTCTACTCCACTCCCTCTCACTACGTCTTCGCCCAGGAGGCTGGTCTCTATGGTGACCTCTATAATGTCATCGTCTCAGAGGTCAGTACATGCTGACTGATTGATGTTCTTTATCACAAAATCTCAAATTTGTACGCTTTTCAATTTTGAGTCGAGGTTTAAACTATAAAGTTGTTCAGAGGAGATTTTTAGATGAGCATAACAGTGGCCAAGAAAGGTAGAGCTGTCATTTTGGGATAGATCTGGAGTCAACAAATTCTTTTTTGATTCTTTCTTCTCAAACCCTGCCAGGAGTACAAGTATAAGCTACCCTGTACATAGATGCTCAATCAAACATATTACTTTTCATTCATGAAAAACAGCAGAAAACAGTCAAATCACTTGCTCTACAAACAAATGTTTGCATGATTATACAATTAAAGTAGAATCATAGGTCCCACTTTATATTAAGTGTCCCTAACTACTAGGTACTTGCATCAAAAAAATAAATACAATGTACTTACTGTGTATATAATGTATTTGAGAACACTTGTGGTGCTTTTGAGTTGGGATAGAGGTTGGGTTATGGACAGGTTTGGTGGCATGGGTAGATTTAAGGGTAGGTTAAGGTGTATGGGATGATCAACAGTGTATTTACAAATGTAATTACAAAAGTTAATCACAGATGTAATTACATACATGTATTTAATCAAGCATAAGTGCACAGTAAATACATGTATTTACACAATAAGTACATTGTAACAATATATTAATCCTTATGTAAGTACATATTTGTTAAGGCTACTTAATATAAAGTGGGACCGAATCATATAATAAAAAATGACAGTTTGCAACATTAAACAGCATAACGAGCTGTTTTGAACGTCACATAAATGAATGGAAGTGAATGAGCTCGGAAGTCTCGATCCAAAAAGATTCAAATGGCTGCGCCTGCTCGTACGCGAAGAATAAGGTGAATACATGTCTGTTGTATAAACATGTTTTTATTTGTAGATTTTTTATTATGTAAAGCCTAATTAGGGACGAGGGCTGCAAACTAGCTTTATGCTATATGCACCATGTATGCAGCATTGGTTGTCTTTGTACAACACTGTCAAGGGTGTTTTCCCTGTGAACACACTAAATCAAAATCTGCACTGAAATAACATTAAAAATAAGAGTGTGCTGTTTAATAAAGTAGAAATTTGTTCAAAACAAAAACAAGATCAATTTTTAGCATCATGCATCTGTTGTGTTTTTACTTGGAGCTTAAAACCTACTTTTTTGTACGTTGTGAACAATAGATGCAAATTTTAACCATACTTGTCAAACATATCAGTATTTGTCAGTCGTTTGTTGTACAACATGTCGGATCAAGGAATGAAACAGTGCAAACAAACACCATTAACTAGAAATTAAATGAAAGGCAACTGCAATTTTCACAAATATGGCCTTATTTAGATGTTTTAGCATGAAATACTTTAACTAACTGTTAGAAAATACAAGATAGGCCTTGTATAAACAAACCACTAAAATAGTTCAAACTAAGTCTTTGATTTCAACCTGTTCTTTAAAGAGAACCTGGAAAACTGTCTTAAAGTGGAGTCGATTCCCTTTGACCCAATGTATTGCAAACATTAGGTTGGACTTCCAGTCCCACCACATGCAGAGCCACACGACAGTCCTGACTGAAATTATGATGATGCGTCATTTTTGTTGTGACGTGTCTCCAGGGAACAGTGTGTCTTTGATTATTCAGGCACGTCCATGTTCTCTGATACAGTCCTGTGTTCTCACTCTCCTGCCAAACACAACTGTTCCTATCATCAGCTTGATACATTAATGCAAGTTAATGAGAGGACTCGACGTACTGCCGTGAAGCAGATTAAACACATACACGCATTTTCTGACATCTCATTAATCTTTCTCTCGTCTTACAACTTGCTATATTAGAATAACTGGAATACAAATAGACGAATGTATATGAATACCAATGTTGTTACACAAAAGAAAATAAGGAAACAATACTATAGTGGTAAAATAACAATAAATATTTAGTAATAATAATAATAATAAAAATAATAATAATAATAACAATAATAATAACAATGTACTGATGATGAACATACATAATCAATAATAATATTGAAAAAGAAATCCGAAGAGTAAATAAAGAATGAAGCAAACCAGTATGAATGAATGAATAAATGAATGAAGAAGCCTGCAATATTGATGAAAAAAGGCACAATGAAGAAAAGTGAATGAAAGAATAAAGTAAATGACTGAACAAATGAATGAACATGGACAAATAAATAAATTATTAAATAAATCAACATGCATACAAATTAAAAAAATAACATTATTAAAACACCATTGTGTAAAATGAATAAAATACCACAAATTGGATAAATAAATAAATATATACATACATATATGGATAATGATATGCTTTCTGAATGAATGAATGAATGAATGAATACATGAATAATTGAGTGAATGAATGAATGAATGAATGAAGGAAGGAAGGAAGGAAGGAAGAAAGGAAGGAAGGAAGAAAGGAAGGAAGGAAGAAAGGAAGGAAAATGAATGAATCAGAATGAATGAAAGAACAATTGAGTGAACGAATGAAGAAGGAAAATATCAAATGAATAAATGATTGATTGAGGGAATTAGCAAATGAATGAAAGAACAAGTGAATATATGGAAGAATAAGTGAAAGAAAGAATGAATGAATGAGGGAATAAACAAATGGGTGGAAATTACGAATGAATGAGAGAACGAAAAAACGAATGAATGAACAACAGAAAGATTAAATTAATTAATAAATGAATGAATGATTGAGAGAATAAACAAATGAAATAAAAATAATGAAGGGATTAGCGAATGAATGAGGGTAAGAACAAATGAATGAGAGAAAGATCAAATGAATGAATGAATGAATGAATGAGGGAATGAACAATTTAATTAAAGAACATGTGAATGAATGGATGAATAAAAGAAAGAATGAATAAATGAAATAACAAATTAACCAAATAATGGAATGAACAAATGAATGAATAAAAAAACAAATGAATGAATGAGGGAAATAACCAATGAGTGAGAGAAAGAACAAATGAATGAAAAGATCAACTGGAATAAATTGATGATTGAGGGAATGAAGAAATGAATGAATGGATTAGCAATGAATGAGGGTAAGAATGAATGAATTAGAGAAAGAGCAAATTGAATGAATGAACAAGGGAAAGATCAAATGAATGAATAAATCATTAAGGGAATGAACAAATGAATAAAAAACAAGTGGATGCATGATTGAATAAATGAAAGGATGAATGAATGAAAGTACAAGTGATTGAACGAATGAGGAAATGAACAAATGAATGAAAGAAAGAACTAATTGATGGATGAATGAATGAATTATATTATACGAGAATGAATGTATTAAATGCCATTTTGTATGTAAATCACAATAACAATATTGATGGTTTTATTATTAAAAATTAAAACAAGGTGCCCAAAATTGGTGCAAATCAAATGTACAAATAATACTATGTTTATTGTATCAAGTTAATCATGATGACAGTGATAAAGTATGTGTGTGTGTGTGTGTGTGTTGTTGTGCAGGCGGGTGTAAGTGAGCACTGCACCCAGCGGGTGATGTCTCAGCTGAGCAGTGCCGTCTCTCACCTGCACTCGCTGGGCTTCGTCCACCGCGACATCAAGCCAGAGAACATCTTCCTATGCGACCGCTCCTGCCATTGGGTCAAACTGGGCGACTTCGGCCTGGCGCGACCACAGGGCACAGAGGTCCGCGCCGTCTGGTACAACTCCCCCTTCTGCGTGCCCGAAGTGGAGCCTGCCAAGACACTCAGCGAGACAGAAGACGACATCTGGATGACTGTGGAACCCAGTCTGGATACCTGGGCTTTAGGGATCCTCATTTACTGCCTGCTGACCAGCTGCTTCCCTTGGGAGGAGAGCACTTCTGATGACCCGTCCTACTGTAAATACATAGACTGGTTCAATCGGGTCGGTCAGAGAGATGCGGGCGAAGTAGGAGTAGCTGATCAGTTTGACTCTTTGAGCTCACTGGTGCTCGAGCTGCTAAGGAAACTACTCAACCCAGAGCCCAGGCTTCGTCCCAGGCCTGACGAGATCCTGTCTTACCTTGGAGGAGCCTGGCTACTGAAGACGGAGAAAGAGGAGAAGCGTAGAGAGGAGGAGGCACGTGTGGAGGCCAAGAAGATGGTGGACAGAGGAGGAGTGGAAAAGGAGAAGGAGATCCTGGGACGGAGAGAGAGATGAAAGGTCATGAACAATGGCAGTGTTATAAACAGATGTACTTTATTTCTACAATTTATAGTATTTTTGTAGGTTTTGTATAGTGGGTTTTATTGTGAATTACTGTATGTAAATATATGTGAACTTTTTTTTAAAAGATGTAGAATTTTTGCAAACTTGTTGTACAGTGGTTGCCCAAAATATTATAAATCAATATGTATATATAGATATTTATATATTATGATTAAATATAGAAGGAAAATATTGACACAAACAAACACATTCTCAAATAACGTTGTTCAAAGTGAGATTTCAGTAATGGTAAATAAATAAATAAATAAATAAATGGATAATGACATGCCTTCTGAATGAATGAATGAATGAATGAATGAATGGATTGATTGATTGATTGATTGATTGATTGATTGATTGATTGATTGATTGATTGATTGATTGATTGATTGATTGATTGATTGATGGATGGATGGATGGATGGATGGATGGATGGATGGATGGATGGATGGATGGATGAATGATGGAAAGAACAAACAAACGAGAATGATTGAATGGATGGATGAATGAATAAATGATGGAAAGAACAAACAAACGAGAGAAAGACCAAATAAATTAAGATTGAGAGAATGGATGAATGAATGAATGAATGAGGGAAATAACAAATGAATGAGAGAAAGAACAAATGAATAAATAAACAATGGAATATATAATGAATGAAGATTGAGAGAATGGATGAATGAATGAGGGAAATAACAAATGAATGAGAGAAAGAACAAATGAAAGAATGTATCATTGAGGGATTAAACAAATGAATGAATAAAAACAAATGAATTAAAAAAATAAACAAATGAATGAGGGTAAGAAGGAATGAACAAGAGAAAGAACAAATTAATGAACAATGGAAAGATCGAATGAATGATTGAGGGAATAAATGAAAGAACAAATGATTGGATTAATGAGTAAGTGAAAGAACAAATAAATAAATGAACAAGGGAAGATCAAAAAATAAAAGAATGAGAGAATGAATGAATGAATGAATGAATGAATGAATGAATGAATGAATGAATGAATGAATGAATGAATGAGGGAAATAACAGATGGATAAGAGAAAGAACAAATGAATGAACAAGGAAAAGACAAATCAATGATTGAAGGATTAAACAAATGAATGAATGAAAAAACAAATGAAGGGATAGATTAATGAGCAAAAGAATGAATGAAAGAAATTAATGAAAGATTGACTGAATGAATGAGCATAAAAAGGAATGAATGAGAGAAAGAACAAATGAATAAATGAACGAACGAACGAACAAACGAATGGATGAATGAACGATTGAAGGAATGAGTGTATGAATGAAAGAACAAATGAATGAATAAATGAAAAAAAATTAGGCAATGGATGAATGAATGAGAAAGAACAAATGAATGAACAAGGGAAAAAACAAATGAATAAATGAATGAATGAATGAATGAATGAATAGGGGTAAGAAGGAATGAATAAGAGAAGAAATGAATGAACAAGGGAAGATCAAATGAATGAGTAAAAGATTGAGGGAATGGATGAATGAGGAAAATAATGTAGGAATGAGAAAAAGAACAAATAAATAAATGAATCATTGAGGGATTAAACAAATAAATGAATGAAAGAACAAATGAAGGAATTAATTAATAAGCGAAAGAATGAATAAATACAAGAACAAATAATGAAAGAATAAATTAATAAAGAATGAGGGTAATAAGGAATGAACAAGAGAAAGAACAAATGAATGAACAAGCTAACGATCAAATGAGTGAATGAATGATTGAGGGAATGAATGAATGAAAGACCAACTGAATGAATGGGAGAAATTAAGAAGAAATGAATGACAAAAAGAACAAATAAATAAACAAGGGACGATTAAATGAGTAAATGAATCATTGAGGGATTAAACAAATTAATGAATTAAAGAAAAATGAATTAATGAACTAGGGTAAGAAGGAATGAATGAGAGAAAGAACAAATTAATGAACAGGAAAGATCAAATGAATGATTGAGGGAACGAACAAACGAATGATTTAAAAGAACAAATGAATGGATTAAAGGCGACGTAGTGGTGCAGTAGGTAGTGCTGTCGCCTCACAGCAAGAAGGTCGCTGGGTTGCTGGTTTGAACCTCGGCTCGGCTCAGCTCAGTTGGCATTTCTGTGTGGAGTTTGCATGTTCTCCCTGCGTTCGCGTGGGTTTCCTCCGGGTGCTCAGGTTTCCCCCACAGTCCAAAGACATGCAGTACAGGTGAATTGGGTAGGCTAAATTGTCCGTAGTGTACGAGTGTGTGTATGAGGGAGTGTGTGTATGGATGTTTTCCAGAGATGGGTTGCGGCTGGAAGGGCATCCGCTGCGCAAAAATGTGCTGTATAAGTTGGCGATTCATTCCGCTGTGGCGACCCTAGATTAATAAAGGGACTAAGCCGACAAGAAAATAAATGAAAGAATAATTGAATGGATAAATTTATAAAAAGATGAATTAATGAGAGAAAGAACAAATGAATGAGGAAATAAGCAATTTAATGAATGCAATAATTTTTATTGAAAAATAAATAAGGTGCAAACAGTAAATAAACAATGCAGCAGATAGATTAACATAGATAAACATTTGATTAAAAAATCTGCTTAAAATCCACCTGATTATTCTTTTGTGTGTACGCAGCATAAGCAGGTAAATCTTTGGCCAGGTAGCGAGTGTAAATACTTTGTCCATTCTGACTATTTTTTCAACCATTTTTACGGTAAATTTCTGTAATTTAACAGCCGTTTTGTGCGGTAAATTTCTGTAATTTAACAGCCGTTTTGTATGGTAAATTTCTGTAATTTAACAGCTTTATTTTATTTTGTTTACCTGCAATACAGCTGCAAATTTAAAATAACCATTTTTTTACAGTGTGGATAAGAACATCAGATGTAGGTGGAATACATATTGTGTCTCTACCTCAAACCACCTGTTTTGCTGTAAATATTGATACATATTTGTCTGTGCACATTTGAATAAACGTTGTTTTGTTGACTGGTTTACTCCCTTCAGCCTGTTGATGCACTGCTTAGGTTGCGCTTAAAAGTTGACATGGCCTTTTGCACACATCAGCATTTGTTGACAGGCTACAGTATACTGACTCATGCATTATAACACTCCAGATTGCCAGATCAGACCAGATATATTGGCAGCAGCTCTGTTCTGCTCTAAATAGGACAAGAGCAGTGAAAATGTTAAACAAACACAGGTACAACGGGACGGGTGTCAGGTTAGTGTTGTTCTGGGATTCGGTGGATCAGTTCAGATATGTGTGGCTCACTCCAACTTTCCAGCTGTCCACACTATCAAGACCACCTTGTGCTTTTTACAACCCGTGCTGGGTGGATTACGTACAAATCGTACAGAAATACAAATAAAAACTGATTTTAGCTAAATGTAATTTATTAAACAGTAATCGGATTACTTCAGAATATCGAAATACTTTGAATCTGAATTATTTAGATAGTGATATTTTTACTCTATATAGTAATATTAATATTCATTCATTCATTTATTTTATTTTCAGCTTAGTCCCTTTATTAGTCTGGGGTCGCCACAGTGGAATGAACCACCAACTTATCCAGCACATGTTTTACGCAGCCCTTACAGTCTTCCAATTTTATGCCCTTCCAGCCACAACCCATCACTGGGAAACACCCATACAAACTCATTCACACACATACACTACAGACTAGAGATCTGTGTGGGACTCAACTTTTAATCCCGCTCCCACCAAGTTTTAGTCCGAACCTGACCGCTCCCACTATTCAGCATTTGTTGTCCCGCAGCCCGACCCGCCCCGCTTTTCACCAGCCATGCCTGATCCCAATAATGGGGGATAGACACATAGACACACAACACCAAGCAAGTTACACACAGATAGCATCACTCTCTCTCTCATTCACACACATACACACACACATAGACAGCACCAATCTGTCTCTCATTTTCACACACACCAGCCTGATCTGACGAGGAAACGTAAGTATTTTACGCTTTGTCAGTTTAGTGGCTAATTCGTCCGAATTTGTACGAGTTCAGTCGTACAAAAATGTGCGATTTTAAAAAGGAGGCGTGGCATTCACACACATAGACAGCAACAATCAAGCTAAACACAGCATCCCTCTCTCTCATTCACACACATACATATGCATGCTCGCTCGCTTGGGAGTCGTGAGCGATATTGTTAGACCGCCCGCTCCCCTTCAAATTACACCAGTTACCGACCGCTCCTGTGCTTTATTCAGAAATTTATTCCCACGCCGCAAGAAATCTGGTCAGGTCCTACGGGAATACAGACCTCTACTAGGTACAATTTAGCCTACTCAATTACCACATGTCTAAGGACTTGTGGGGGAAACCGGAGCACCACACAGAAAGGTCCGCACAGAAACGGCAATTGACCCAGCCGAGGCTTGACCCAGCGACCTTCTTGCTGTGTGGAAAACGTGCTACCCACTGCACCACTGCCGTGACATTATTAATAATAACAATGTTTTCCATTCTTTGCTATCAACAGCCTGAAGTGCAGTTAACATTACATTCAAATTTCCCAAATCAGGGTTTGTGAAAAAAGAACTACAGGTTAACACATCTAGCGATTGACAGAATCTTAAAAATGTTCAATTAATTCATAAAATAATCAAAACATTCATATCGTTTAGTTACATTTATATTTAACATATCCATACTGTTTGCTTTCTTCCAAAGCAACTTAAGAAAGAGGAATGAAAAAAGACCCTGTGCAGTGCTAATTTGGAGCATCCCAAATGATACTTTATACAGTTACACGAACAGTATATGCCTCATCTCCACTGAGCAGTTCTGAACACTGTGCTTCAGGCAGATCAGGTTTTTGTTTGTACTGCCAATAGTACCCTTACTTGGTAGCAGTGGTGTTGTGGAAACTGCATGGGTCGCCTGAAAGAGTGAAGAGAGGTATTGGTGAGGATATCAATTTGTTTGCATTCTATTTGTTCATTATAATTAATTATTTAAAAAAAAACATACTGATACAATTAAGGATTTTGTTCTTATAGTCCATGTAAAATCGAAATGTCAGTGACATGGGGGCTCAGTGGTTAGCACTGTCGCCACATAACAAGTAGGTCACTGGTTCCAGTCCTTGAGGGGTCAGCTGGCATTTCTGTATAGAGTTTGCATGTTCTCCCTGTGCTCGCATTTCACTTTCGCGTCCTCCGGTTTCCCGCACAATCCAAGGACATGCGCTATAGGTGAATTGAATAAACAAAATTGGACGAACTGTATGATTGTGTAT